GATTGATGGATTGATGGATGGGTTGATGGATGGATGGGTGGGTGGGTGAATGGATGGGTGGATGAATGGGTGGATAGATGAATGGGTGGTTGGGTGGGTGGATGGATGGATGGGAAGGAGGAAGAGCCTGTTCCAGCAAGGATATGAGTAGGAGGCGGGTGGGTGCACAGTGAGAAATTCTGAGGGAAAGGTGCACGCCTGGTCTAGGCGAGTGGAGGTGCTAACGGATACTGACAGCCGTTTTCCAGAGACCACCTGTGGTGTGTACTTCACAGTTAAAACTCTTGAGGTGTTCTGGGGAATCCATAAATACATGACTTTATCAATGACCTGGCCAGCAGCCCAAAGGCAGAGCGCCTGCCTGGGTCTCTCTGTTAGCAGCCAGCTAATCGGCAATTCACACGAGCAACGGAAAACAAGTCATTGTCCCCAAACGTTCTAGGTTTTCTAGTTTTCTTTTTCTTTATAAAGACTGTTTTCACCTGCATCAGATATAATCAATCAAGCAAGCCATCTCCCTTGTATGTAGGTAAAACAACATGCTAACAATGAATGACGTGTCTACGGAGATCCTGTGACAGCAGGAGGGCAGAATGGGTTGGAGAAAGAACTATGCTAGGATGGACAGCTGGCGTTCCATCAAGTGGATGGATAGAAGGGAGGACAGAGGGCGATTGGACAGACGGATGAATGACAGGTCAGCTAGAAAGGATGGAGATAACGGACACACCAAAGGGCTGGCCAGGAGGGGCGAGAGACAAGTGAGTCACCAGCTGGAAGAGCAGCAGCCACAGCGGTGGCAGGCCCCCACAGCAGACCCAAGCCGCCACCCCATCCCACTGAGCATGGCGGCTGCACCCACCTGGTGCCAGTAAGCAGAGTCCTTGTTCAACTCCATCTCCTCCTGCATCCACTCCAGGTTGGCCTCCAGGAAGCTCTTGAGCTTCTCGCAGTAACCGACTTCGTACTCGAAGGGGCCGCAGTAATTCACCACCGTGTTCATCCAGTGCATATAGATGAGCTGTGGGGTGGGCGAGGAGGGCGAGGGCAGAGCGGCGAGCTGCTCGCTGCTCTGAGGACCCCACTGGCTCCCCACTTGGGCTCAGGGTCCTCTCCCCTATCCAGGTCTCCAAAGAGCTGGCACCTTGGTGAGGCCACCTCTGCGCCTTTGCCCACGCTGCTGCTTCCTTCCCCTATAAGCCTTTCTCATCCATCCAGCTCTTACCCCCAACAGAGCCCAACGCCTCTGGGCACCCCCCTCCTTTGAAAGCCTTTAGCACTCAAAATCTGTCCTAGACTACATCTCCCCTCTTCCTGGGGATCCCCAATCTATATATGTATTCAGTTGGTCAGTCAACACAACACGAGCCTGGCCCAGTGTCTGACCATCTCCCCAGACACTGGGGTCCCAGGAAGGCATCCAAAACTGCAAGCAGGTGTCAGAATGAGGACTGTGGGTTTCATAAAAGGCTGCCACACTGTGCGCTGTCCTCTGTGACGTGCGCTTTCCCCCTCACCATCATGCATCTGTTTCATCCACGTTGCTAATTCGTTTTCACTCTACTGTACTGCGCTGTGTGACTCTACATCTGGCTACCCACTCACCCACTGGTGGCATTTGGGTGTCCCCACCTTGGGGCTGCTTTAAACACCTCACACACACCATAGGCACACACTTATGAAGAGGGGCCTCGAGGTCCCAAAGCATGTCTGTGTTCAACTCTACGAGCTGATACCAAATTATTTTCCAAAGTGGGTGTCACACCTCCACCCATGGTGTAGGAGCCTGGCTGTCACACCATAGCCTCCCCTAGTTCTGATATTGTCCGACTTCTGAAATGTATGATTATCACTTTTATAAAGCCCCAAATCAAGTAAAGCATAGTAACAGGTTGTTTAAGGATTCATCACATGTACTAAAACTAACAACAAAAGTAAGGGAGTTGAAATAACTCAAATGTCCATCCACTAATGAGTGGATAAACAGCATATCCATACAATGGGATATCATTTGGCCGTAAAAAGGAATACAGTGCCAACACACGTCACAACAGGGATGAACCCTAAAGACATGATGCTAAGTGAAAGAAGCTAGTCACAAAAGACCAGACACTGTAGGATTCCGTTTATATAAAATGGCAAGAATAACCAAACCTATAGAGACAGAAAGTACATTTACAGCTGCCAGGGGCTGGGGTGAGGAGAGAAAAGGGAGGTGACTACTAATGGGTACGGGGTTTCTTTCTGGGGTGATGAGAATGTTCTGGAATTACATAGTGGTGATGACTGCACAACCTTACGAAGAGACTAAAAAAAATACTAAATTGTGTATCTTTAAATGGTGGGTTTTATGGCATATGAATTATATCTCAATATAAATGACTGAATGAATATACATAAGGGAATGTGGGGCACCCCATTTAGGGTGGTGGGTGCCTCTGTGGGGAGGGGAGCCAGGGGTTAGGGCTGGGAGGGGACTTCGATGGTACCAGCAACACCGTAGGGTTTAGCTTGGGTGTTCATTTCTAATTATGCTCCATTGGACTATGTTGCGTATTTTTTATACTCATCAAATCGTACCTCATGTTAATTTTTAATGAATGCATGTGAGCCTTTTCTCCCCAACTGGATGGAGGGCTGGAGGCAGGGGGCCCACTCTGCAATACCTCAGAACCCTCCAAAGCTCCCTGGGGAACACGTCTGGTGGGGTAGGGGAGACGGGAGCCCTAGGTTCTTCCACCTGGCCCTTACCTCCTCAGACACGGCAGCCTCCACCACGCCTGCAGCGTAGGCCTGCAGGCTGTCGCTGTAGTGGCCATTGGTGTGCAGCTCCAGAAAGGCCCACCTGGAGAGGGAGGAGAGGGGACACCTGGTCAGTGCAGAGACAGGCGTGAAACTGGCCCACAGCCTGATGCACAGCCACTTCCAGTGTTAAACCATAAAAAACAACACGGTGATGCACTACCTTTCACGTGACTGTCTGTCTTTGTGCACTTGTCAGGCTAAACCCCTAAAAGGAGAAATGCTGGGTCAAAATGGCTTTAATTTTATAGACACTGACCAACGGCCTCCCCGCAAAAGCTGCACTAACCTTCGTTCCCACCCCCACAATGACACCAGCTCCCATCTACGGAGGTCCTCCTCTGTGCCAGGCACTGTTTTGCACACTTTCTCATCTGTCAGCTCTTTAACCCTCTGGACGAACCTACAATCCTGCAAGGCAGGCGCGGGCATTGTCTCCGTCATGCAGGAGAGGCGGCAGTTAAAGCGCAGAATTATGTAACTTAACTGCTGCGGGAGAGCGTATGGCTGTCCCCTCTCCCCATATCCGTGCCCTTTGCTGAGTCACTTTACAGTCCCTCCACGAATGGCCAAGGGTCCTTCCCTGCTCCTTTGATCTGGGCTCAGTCATGTCATTTCACTTGCCTTGGCCATCTGGAGGAATGTGAGGGGAAGTGACTGTGTGCCAGTTATAACATTAACTTTCAAGAGGCCACCTCTGTTTCTCCTTGCCCACTTGGGCCTCTGCTATTGCTATGATAAGATGCCCTGGCCAGCCCACCGGCCCCAGAAATATAAGAGACATGTGGAGTGGACCAGGTCTGCAGAGCTGCCCCGGCTACCCCAGGACCCATGAGGATAAATGGATAAATGGTTGTTGTTTTAAGCCACTGGGTTTGCGGGGTGATTTGTTACACAGCACTGTTGCCCAATACTAGCTGATACACTTGCCGAAGAGCAGAAGTAGCAAAGAGGGGAGCCTGGGTTCAATTCCAGGCAGGCTGGCCCCCACGCCTGTGAGGCAGAGCTTCTTAGACTCTGATGTGCATCCACGTCACTTGAAGACCTTGTTCGGAAGCCAGTTCCAGTCAGGACATCTGGGGTACGGCCCGAGACTATATCTACCTGCTGGTCCTGTCTGCCCACTCCTTTGCTTAAAATGATTCCTATCAGTCTTTTTCATCTTTCCTAAGGAGATAGATGAAAAATTCAATCATGTTGTTTTAACTATAGTCTTTTAATTAGTTAAGTTACATATATTTTCTTATTCTTATTGGTCATTTATAGTTTTTGGTTCCTGTCCTTTACTCATTTCTCTCCAGTGTATTTTTTTAAACCTTTTCTTGTTGCTTGGTGAAACTGTCTATATACGTATTAGCCTTTGGCTTGTCACTAATATTGAAGAGATGTTTGCATTTTCATTTATCTTTGCTTTTGTTTTTGCCATATAGAGGTTTTCATTTTTGTACAGCTAATCTGTCAATCTGTTCCTTTAGGTTCTATGAAGAAAATGAGGGCAATAGGACACTCATGGGAACTGGAAGAGGCCACAAGACAAGGGAGAGCCAGGCACGGCCAGGGCTATCTCATGGGAAGTTAGCTAAAATGCCACCACAGAGCTCCAGGACAAGAATAGCTCTGCCCTAGAGGCAACTCTGGACGGGAAAAACTATAAACACAACCACAGGCAATACTTTCGGCAAGCAAGCCTCTCTGAGTGCTTATTGGGTGCCAGACGCTGAGGGTATATGAGGAGGAATGGCATTCAGTCCTGGCCTTCAAAAGCCAACGTGGGGGTGAGGGGGTGTTACTGACACGCAAACAGATGATGACATAACAGGGTAACTGCTATGGTGAGAAAAGGAATACAATGCCAAGGGAGTGTCCTGAAGAGGTACACTCCTGCTGCTGAGTAAAATCTAGAAAGACCGGGGAGCTTACAGCTGCTTTGGGTTTTGAAGTTTAAGTAGGAGCTTTCTAGGGAAGCGGCAGAGGAAAAGGAAAGTAAAACAAGGAAGCCTGAACTATGAAAGTTCCAAGGCAAAGAACCCTGGGGCCAACGAGATGTGGGGATTGATAACGAGCACCCCCCACCATGGTGGCTAATGACAGCCCCCAGGCATGTGCTAAGCACATCACAAGTTTACTTCTCTCTCTAAATTCTCCCAAGACTCTATGACATGAGTTTTATTCTCCTGACTTTACAGATGTGGGAACACAGGGAGGCTCAGAGAGGTGAAGTCACTTGCCCAAGGTCGCGGCAGAGCTTAGACTAAGATTCCAGAGCACGTGCTCTGAGCCTCTAACTCAGCTGAGTTTTGTGGGGTTTTTTGGTGGTGGGGAAGGTTAATTCTTATTAAAGGAAGATGGGAGCCATGAACTTCAGGATAAAGACTCACATAAAATCATATATATAGGGACAGAGAAGCACAAGAGACTAGAATGAATGTTTAAATTTCCATACATTTCCAGGAGAGTGGAGTACAAAGAGCATCTGGGTGTGTGGGTCCCCCGGACTTTGTTTGAATGGCCAGGTCTCTCTCCTATCAGCTGTGTATCTCTGGGCAAACTGCTTGACCTCTCTGGGCCTCAGTTTCTGTAAAGTGGGGCTAGCGAGTCCCACTTCAGAGGGTTGCTATGGCGTTTGCCTGGAGACAACACACATTCCACGCACCCTAAGTATCTGAGAATCTCTGAGGGGAGTTAGGGAAGACCGGCAAGTTTGGTGATGGGAGGAAGATTATAACAGGGCCCCAGATGAGACCCACCCCATGATAAAATAAAAATAAAAATAAAAAATAGGGATCGAGGGACACCAAACACAAACTACATGAAACCGAAAAGGCTGGTAAGACAGTTTTAAACGAGGCCAGCAGCCTCCCTCCAGTCCATGCCTAGTAAACAGCTGCTCCTGCGAGGGGCGCCTGGGCTCAGTCAAGGCCGCGGGCTGAAGCCCTGGAGACCAGCAGCGTTTAGGAACCCATCCTGTGACCAGGTGCTCACAGAGCCCTCAGAGATGGCTGTGAGGGGCCTCGTTTATAGCAGTTTTCACCAGAGCCCAGGGAAACTGGACCCTCCCAAAGAGTCTGTCATCAGGAAGCTGACAGGATAATCGAGCCAAACATTCAATGGGTTTCTAGAATGCCAGGTGCTGACAAGGTGTCAGAGACAAAGAAACAAAGTTGTTTTGTTTTCTGAAAAAGGATTAGCGACAAACGGCAGTGGGGATAAGAAAAAGGGGGTTCTACGGAAAGTAACCTCGCAGAGTGCTTTGATCGTTAATTCCCAACGGGGCAGCTCACGGTGAGTAGTCATGCCCCGGCATGCAACTTTTTAGTAAAAGGTTTATCTTTGCCTTAACTAAGCCCTGACTGTTATGTCTGTGCATCTAGGTTGACATACCTTTGAAATAATCACCGTCGAGAGAGTACGGAATCTTGTCAACTATCCCGTAATCGGATCCCAACCTTGCCTTTTCCCACCGCCACGTAATCAGATGCATAAAAGCAGCTGCAAATCTGTTACACTCAGGAGCGTCTGATACCTTGCTCCTTGGCACGTGTCCTCACTTTGGCTCTTATAAAAATTCTCTACAGGTTTAGACATGTCTTACGTTAACAGTAGACACAGATAACCCCGTGTATAAAAGCATTACACAGACATATATATACCTGTACACATGCATGTGTATGTATGTTTAGGCCTCTTTATGCACAGAACATTCTGGAAGAAAGAGCTAACAGTGGTTATATACGGAAAGAAAAAATTGGGGGGAGGGCGTGAGTTTTATCTCCTGCATCCCATCCCACATTTTGAAACTGCGAGAATTTTTGCCAGGAAAAGTTAATTACTTTTCTAATAATTATAAAAGTTTAAAGAAGTGCAGCATGACTGGGCAGGAAGGAGAGGATGAGTGGAAAGTGAATTCCCCCCCACCCTACCCCCCATCCCCCAAGCTCTGCCAGGCCGCAGTTCCACAAATATGGCATTAATCACTTCCTTTGTTCAGAGAGCGCAACCTTATTCCAAAGGGCCCCTGGGGTGACTGAATTTAGATGACTTTTATTCATTTTGCCTGAGTCCTCAGAAAACCCTGCTTGGGGAGGTTCCCAGTTGTGAGGTTTTGCTCCCAGCTCCCCGCCCCCACCCCCAGGTTAATCTCTGAAGATCTTTCTGTTGCCTCAGGCCCTAAACCCTAATAGGATTTCTTCTGACCCTGCAAGGTCTTCGCCATCCTCAGCGCCACTGCCACCTGCAGAGCTCAGTAAGTAAACCTGAGACTCTGCTTCATAGTCCACACCTTGACCTTCCAGGCTCAGCTCCTCATCTGTAAAATGGGAAGGCCTGGACGTCGGCAGCTGTGCTGGTGGCCAGCTCTGAGAAACTCTACCTCAGCTCCTGGGAAAAACACAGACGAGAGCGTGTTCCTAAAGCTAAATGTGCCCGTTAAAGACTAATCTTTATTCAGAGATTGTGTGCTTTCTGCTTGTTTGGTTCTGAAACAGCTGATTCCTTACGAGATAAAACATAAAAGGGAAAGAAGTTAATAAACATAGTTCTGCTTTGTTTTCAGCGCGCTTGCTTGACAAAAACAAAAAGTTGGCAGCACTGGATCTGTTAACTCAATCTTTTTTATGGCAGGAGCGGCTAACCTCTCTGAGCTGACCCTAGGGTCTAATCGAAGGCCACATTTGGGAAAAGCCAGGCCATTCATGTGCAATGGGCAGGAATCACCACCCCGCTTGGGTGTACGGCATTCCCCTGACACCCTCACTAGGTGGAGGGCCCACCCTTTCTGTGGCTATCACTCCTCTCTCACTTTTGAGGGCATGTTTATCTTTCGTGACTTTTCTGAGACATACCTGGAGGCATTTCTGATCCCCAGGCACCAAATCCTAAATGCTCCCGGGCTGGCTGGGGAATGTTGGCCCAAGGTCAGATACAGCACCACTGAAAGAGGAGAGATTATGGGGAAAGTGGACGTGGAATTTATCTCAGGATCCCCAGTGGCGAAATCTGGGGACCAGGGAAAAAAAAGGGATCCCCATTCTAGGTGAAGAGTCAAATGCCTGGTCTCCACCCTTCAAAAACTGAGGCGATTACCCACGAATCAGAGGTTCTGCTGACCAGAGGCCGGCACACCCACGTGGCTTTCTTTCATCTCACCCCTGAGTTCTCAAGAAAGTGTCTTCGAGGGCCTCAGTCTCTCTGCTTATAAAACGGGGACTTCAGATACAGTTTTCCTTACATCATAGCCCCAAGTGCTGTCGGACTCAGAGGAAAAGGGGCATGTGAGTCTGAGAGGAGAGAACGAGAGACGAGACAGAAAAGGTGGTGGAAAGGTGAAGGGAGCGAGTGAAGGGTGAAAGAGACCTGGGCTCGCTTCTCCGACTTCCTCACCTGTAAAAGGGGCAGAGAACACCTATACCCGCCCCCTTCTCTTGACTCGTTCCTTCCTTCAGTAGTAAATACACAGAAGTGCTTTCTGTGATCCCACTGATTTCCCTTCAAGCCCTCCCTTCGGGTGAGGAAAACAAGCTGAGAGAGTGAAGTGATTTGCCCAAGGCCAGGGCGGTGGAGCTGGGCCTGGAAGAGCTTTCAACCCGTAGAACCAAGGAAGCCCTCCCTCCACTTTCGTTTTCTCTAACTGAGAGCAAGGCGGCCTGGGGGGCCTCCTGCAGCCACAGCCCTGTCTGTCCCCAGGCTGGGCCTCACCTCTGTGTCTTCTCCTCTAGCTGGCATCCAAGCAGAGCTCTATCATGCCCTCTTGGCTCTGCTAAGTAGGGCCAAAACATGTGAGTCAGCAGAGAATAGGTCACCAGATTCCAGAGTCACGGAGCCACAGAGCTCTTGGTTCCCTCCCGAGATGCCAGCTGACTCTATGACCTCTTCTCCTTGGGAGGCAACCCAGATTAGCTCTACCCGGCTCCTGTGTCTACAGCAAGTCCTCTCCCCCAAATCGCCCTTCTGTCTGTCTATCTGATACCCTCCCAAGTGCCACAGAGCACCAGAATGAGGGTGTCCTCAGTGTCCGTGTCTCCCCAACACCTGCAGGAATTAATGCACGCCAGCAAAATGGATGCGGACAGCAGTGGGAGGAGGCCATGCCTGCTGGAGGGGGCTGTGTAGTCTCAGCACTGGGATGAGCCCAGGATGGGATGGGAGCTGGGGACTCAGAGTTCTCTAAGATCCCCAGCAAAGCCGGGTCCAGGGCCTGGGCCCTGCTGACAAGGTTTTGAAGCAGAATTGTCCTCACTCCCACTGACTCAGGTTTCTGGCACTGTCTCCTCAATGGATCGGGACCCCACCTGCTTATCTCTGTGTCTCCAAGACCAAGCACGCCAGGTGAGTGAACGAATGAATGAATGGGCCCGAGCTCTGGTACAAGGCCTGAGAGGGGCATCACCCAGCCTCCCAGCCAAAGCACATCCTCAAAATCCAGGAGAAATGGGAGCCCAGACTGGCAGAGGAGTTAAGTGAGTCACACATCAGAATGACAGTCCCGCTGATAAGGACAGTAATCATGACTGTCCAGGATGGAGCACTTGGCTCTATACTAAGTATCTGGCCAAGCAACTGTCCCCTGAACCCAGAGAGAAAAAGGAGGGGAGGAGCAGAGCTCAGGCAATGCTACTATCTGGGTCTATGTGAATTTAGGGAACCTCTGTTTTCTGGCTGGTCTGGAACCCAGGCTCAATTGTGCTGCCCTGATTCTGGAACCCAGGCAAAGGGCTGGTATAATCAAGGAAGTTAAAAGTTAAGTCTACTAGAGAGCTCACCACCCCACAGACCCAAGGTGCAGGGAAGTGAACTATGAGGAAGGGAAGTTGGCCTCTGTGGGAATAGGAGTTATTGTATCACCCATCAGCCATGGACTGGATCCAGAGGAAGCCACTGTGGCCCTGATGACCAGAAATTGGCCTCCAGGGGGAGACAGAGGTAGTGACCCCAGAGTGAAGGCGAGGGGACTGGCTCCCATGAGTTGAGAAGATGCATTAGCTTCCACCCAACCTGGGACGTGGTCTAGATGTTGGTACTGCATCCTCAGATGAGAGAAACTGACCCCCAGGGAGTCAGGGACACTGACACCAGCAAGAGGCTGGTCCTAGGGACAGACAAGGCCTGAAGCCCACACACCTCCCTCTTCGGCTAGTTCGGCGCGGGGTCGGGCCAACCCTTACCCGGTCTCGTGAATGGCGTTGGTGAGATTGGCCCAAGCCACAGCGTCAGGATGGCGGCCATCCACCAGACGCAGCTGGCCCGTCTGGGGGTCCAGGAGCACCGAGCGGCTGCGGGAGGCGGGTGAGACCGGCCCTTCGGACCCCCAGCGGCTCCCCGGGGTCTGGATTGCGCTGGTCCGGCCGCTCAGGAACAGCCCGGCCAGCGGAGCCAGCACCAGGGTCAGCGCCAGGGTCCGCTTCAGAGCTCCGGCCAGGCGGCCTCCAGGGGAGCGGTCCATCGGGGCCACCATCACAGCCCGGAGCAGGGAGCCGCAGCCGGGCTCACGTGACTGCGCTCTGCCACAGAGGGCTGGGAGACCGCGAGCCGCGGGAAAGGGGCGGGACTTGGGCCCAGCTCTTCCGGGGTGGGCGGGGCCCGGATGAGGGACGTAGGGGGCGGGGCCCATCTTAAAGAGTCCTGGCACTTTGTCCGCCTCCTAAAATCCCGCGTAGCGCACTTCCCCCCAACTTTTTGTTTTCAAACCTCGAGAAAGGTTGCAAGGAGTAAACACCCATCTGCCTGCCGTCAATTGCTAATATTTTGTCACATTTAATTAATCTCTCTTTATATATGTGCATATAATTTTATACATGTATACATAATTTTGCTCAACCATTTAAGGGTTAATTGAAGAAATCGGGACATGTCAAACCTAAATACAGCGGATATACAGTATCTCATAAGAGAAAAGACAGTATCCTACATAACCACGGTATACCATTATAATAGAAAATTTACCATTCATTTAATACTATTATCTAAAACAGAGTTTTATTCAAATATTTCCAATTGTCTCAAAAATGCTCTTCTTTTCTTTTCTTTTGATCCGGATCCACTCCTCACACCTTACACAAGAAAAACTCTTAAATGATGACAACCTAAATGTAAAAAATGAAACTGCAAGTTCTAGAAGAAAATATGGGTGAATTCCTCCACAGCTTGTGTTTAAGAAAAGGCGAACTATGACTCAAAATCCAAATGCAATAAAAAATGAATCCATTTGACTACATAAAATTTTCTTTAACTTTTCCGTGTCTAAAACACCATGATTAAAGTCAAAAGACAGCTGACAAACTGGGAGAAAATGTTTATCACATATATCATAGATAAAGGGCTAATATCACTAACCTATGAAGGACTCTTTAAATTTGAGGGGGAAATGTGAAAATCAGATAGAAAAATGGGCAGAAGAATATGAACAATTTGTGAAAAAAGATGTAAAAATGATTTTTAAACTTATCGAAAACTATCACTTCATTTACTATAAGAAAAATGCAAATTATAGCTACACTGAGGATAGAAGTTCATAGTGAAAATTAAAAAAAAAAAAACACTAAAAAAAGAAAAAAAATGTTTGTAGAAATATATACCAAAAACAATGAGGAAATATGAAAACTGGTGTGATCTGAATACGGTCTATAATTCAGTTAAAGGTCTTGTATTGATGTCACCTTCTTGATTTTGGTTATTATACTCTGGTTATATACGATGTTATCATTGGGAGTAACTGGGAAAAGGCCACACAGCAAGAGAGACTGTCCTCTCTCTTCTGAGGTCCGAAGAGATAACTGACAGCCAAAGGGGCAAAATCAGGGCCAAGTGTAGGGCAAGGCTGGGTCAAGGTCTGTGCCCCAGCAAGTAGGGTAACAGAGGGAGGGAAGGGCCAGTCTTGGGGGAGGGGTCAGGCAGAGGCCACTGGTGATAATCAGGGATGCTGGAGAGTCACAGAGGTGGGCAGGGGACAGGTCTTTACCTGAGGGCCCTTGAGGCAAATCTCAACAGAACCAGATTGTGGCAGTGGCCAC